TTTTTTTTTTGTAATATGATATTTTTGTTGTGAAAGTATAGCAAGTGTGTGTTTGATTTCAATTTTGAAATTCAATTTCTTTGTCTCTCTCCACGTCCAAATAGCAATTTAAGGAGAAACTATTATTTTCTCCTTCCAAGTCAAACGTGAAAAATCTGACGCTGTTCCAGACACACAGCAAAACCTGGCACATAATTCACGTATTCTACTTGATTAGAGGCAATAATTTGAGCGGGTAAAGCAATCACGTATTCACGTGCATCTTTCTACTGTTTGATCATGACAGCATTACGTAATCTGCCGATTAATATCTTTGCGGCTACATTTTCAACCGTAAATCTTTACCTTCCAAAAGATTTATTTTTGTATTAATTTGAAGCACAAAAATCCCTTTTTAAAATTATTCACCGTTGGATTTAGAATTCATCTCATCATGCAGTTTAATTATCAACTGTACGCGATCCAAATCCATTAATCTAGTGGATAGAGAAAAGAACCCTATGATGATTTGACAATTAAGGTGAAATATAAAACTATTTTTTTAAAGAAACAGAATTAGTTCATTTCATTTAAAACTTGGGATAAAATATAAGATGAAATGTGATTAAATTTTTTAAGACTAGCACCGAACTCTGCTTTCCTAGCTAACTTATAGGTTACAGAGTTGGCTTGTCTATATGCAAAACTGATGTCACAGTTTGTAAAACTACCTAGGAGTGCTTTGCAACTAATGATTATGTCGCCAAATTTTGTTTGCTCTGGTTACTGTTTGTTCATACTAGCAAAAACACGATGACAGCCAACTTCGAACGTGATTCTTCCAACATCAATATCCTTGGCCCATCGAAGAGCTTCCAGAAGGGCTAAAGCTTCACATTCATGGGAATCCAGGCCCTAGTGAATGTTGATTGATTTGGCCTTCACGAAGGTTCCTCTATGATCCTGAGGCATAAGCTTATACCATATGAAAGATGGTTGCATCTACATTGCACATTAGGGAGCCTACGTGAGGGAGCTTCCAAAAAAGCTCACTAGCTCTTATGTGCTTCTTACTCGAAACACCTTTGTGCATGGCACTGTTCCAATCTGCAAGGTTGGCTTTCACTTTGTGAATGATATCATTGGAGCTCCACTCTGTTCCCTTCCAGATCTTAGCATTCCTCCTCTCCCACATGCACCACACAAGCTCATAACAAACTCAGATGCTTTTTCAGAGCTCCCTTTCCGAATCACCTCGAATATTGCGTTTTGCAAACTGTCTGCATGTTTCAATACCTTAATAAGATTACTGGTTGTCCAAACATTGTTGAGCTTTAGAGCAACCTGCAAAAACATGCTAAGAGTTTTCAATGTGATTATCGCAAAGAACACAATTAATAGGGCAGGATACACCTCGAGATTGTAAGTTTGATCTTGTAGGAAGACAATCTCTACAAACTCTCCAGAGGAAGATTTTGACTTTTGCAGGGACATCCAGCTTCCACAACATCTTCCATTCTCCTTAAACTACAAGGTGATCAACGCTCATCACATTTTCTAAATAGCCTTTATATGTTGATCTCACAGTATATCCCCCATCATGATTCATGAGACCAGTTCCAATGTTCTAATCAGTCCTTTGCTTGTCGATAAGATCAGAAACTTTCAAATTATGACTTTCGTTTGATCTAGCTAGGATTGAAAGTGCATCTATTTGGGTTATTCTTCAACCAAGGCTCATTCCATACGGTTATGGATAGACCATTGTCGATCTTCCAATGATAACCTGCTTTAATAAGGTGTTGAGCATTCCAAATGCTTCTCCAAGAATAACTCGGGTTATATCCAAGTGTTGCAGAGGTAGTAATCATTAGGGTACGTAGTCATCATGAGGATACGACAGGTAGAATAGAAACTGTTAATGCATTAAAAGTGGAGCAATACAACACAAAAACTTTATAAATTATCAGGACTGGATTAAGCCACACTTTATTGCTAAAGAAACATATATATATATATAATTATTTCAGGGTCGTAAGAGCAACTTCAAACAATATATGATTTAAACCTTCAGCATCCAATTCTTTCGTTAAGGTTAATTTAAACCATTCCGTTAATTAATTATACAAATCAAATTGGTTTTGAATAAATGATGTGGTGTTACCAAATTCGAACAAGTGATTGTCTTGGTGATGACCGATGAGTTAACGATTTAGGTTCCGTCATAGTTTATTAGTAGATTTTAGAGTGTTTAATACATTTATAAAATATTTTATAAGTAAATCATAAGATATGTTGGACTTATTTTAATAAATTCTTTAATATAATTTATTATTTAATTTATGTAAAAAAATTATTTGAGAAATAATCATGGTTGAATTTTATCACTAATATAAATATTTTTTTTCTTTTCATTTTTTCACTATAATACAATTTTATATTATTTTTTATTATTTCTTTCAAAGATTTTCGTTTCTCCTTCATAAATTTTTGTCCCTCTTTCTTTTTTCTCTTTTCCAAATTTTTTTTTCTTTTATTTCCTCTAAAAAAATTCACATTTCCCTATTATAAAAAAATTCTCGTAACTTTCTTTTCTAAAACAACACATGTTTTATTGGAAATCTCTTTATCAATTGTATGATACACTTTTTTTTTATTTATTTCAAGTTTCAACTATTATTTTACTGCTTATTGTTTTTACACATCACGTAATTTTTCATTACAGACATCAAGATTCAAATACTTGAAATTTTTTTCTTCTATTTTTTTTTTAATATTTTTTTTACAGAATATATGAAATTAATTTTTAATTTTAAAAATGTACTATTCTTAATTTTAGTCATAGTTTTATATATAAGTGATTTCTCATGTTTTATTTTTAATTTTATTTTTTATAAACTAAAATTAGGTGATCGTGACTAGTAATTTTTTTATTTTTAATATTTTTATGTTATATAATTTCGTTTTTAAAATTTATTTTGTTACTTTTAAGATTTTGATTTTAATTTCTAGTCAAGATTTAATTTGTAATTTTTTAATTTTTAAAATAAGATAACATCTTATAAATACTTAAATAATAATACATTCAAATACTTAAAAGTTGTAACAGTGTTTATCAACAACAACCTATTAAATTTTAAGCATTTATAGTTTTTATTACATAAACATTTATTGAATAGAATCTTAATTAAGTTATTTATCCAAACTAATCTTATTAGTCAAATTAGTATATCAGTTATGAATAGCACGAATCAATCTCTCTCTCACTCACTCTCTCTCTCTTTATATATATATATATCAAAAGACATATTTGACTTTTTCTCTCTCAATATTATCCCATTAGAACAAATACGTCTTTTTTCACTTCAAAATTTAAACTAATCGACTATTCTTATATATATATATATATATATTTTTTTTTTTTTGAGAA